GTGGGTGCTTTCAATGCGGCCCTACAAATTATGTTTTCCTTTGGGCTTTCCTTTCAAGCCACCAAAAAAAAACAGGGCGTAGCCTCCAAAAAACCAGCGAGCGAGCCACCCCTGCGTGGAACTGCATCCCGCGCCTCACTTCAGGCCTGGCGGTTGAGTGAGCAGAGCGGGTGGCAAAAATGAAGGTTTTTCCATCTCTCAGTTGCCCCTATGGGACCTGGAACTAAGGTGATCACCTTTTGGGGCCATGACTAAAAATGGGTACCAAAATGGGAAAACCAACAGGTCAAAAGGTCGATTCGCTTTGAACAACTGAGATCTCTGTTGAAACGGGGACCCCGTGAATCAACCAGGGGTGTATTAATCCGGGGGCTGATGGTTGACAATTGAATGGATGGAGTAGAAGCCGGCAAGGTCTTCATCAAGAATATCATACCCTCCATCTCTGGGTGCTTCCCAAAAGAAGGGTCCCTTCGAATGGCTTCTTTTTGGGTTCCCTGTAAATGCCAACCACAAGGGGAAAAATCGTTTTGAGAAACCCTAATATCAAGGGAGAATGCAAGAGAAGAATTAGACCTTGCCGGCTTCTATTCCATCTATTCAATTGTCAACCGTGGCCCCCCGGATTAATACACCCCTGGTTGATTGACAGCGTCCCCGTTTAGTGGGGGTCCATTGCTCGAGGGGAACGATTCATTTGGGGTCAGCATTGTTCGGACACGAAAAACCAGGCTGCAACGGCTCCCCTATGGCTCCGAACCGCTGAAGCAAAACGCAAGTGCTGGGACACTGTCGGGCGAGATGAGATGAGGAGGCCCGTTGTTCATGGCATGCGAATTTCACCATGGGCAAGTCTTTGAGATCCTTCAGTTCATGAAAATGCACAAAGCCCGGGTGATTCCGGAAAGGGGCCTGGAAATTCAAACAGATTCATTGGTTTCCTTCTGTTTTCTTTGGTCGGACAATTGAACATGCATTCTTTTGCGCCCAGAATCAAGTTGAGCGCCCCGAAACGCATTGACGCTTCTACCAAATTAGTATTTACTTGTTGGCAAAGGCCGTGTTATAACCTTTGTGAAGCCAAATGCTAGGACCGCCTGGTGTCAAAATAGGTATTGCAGGGAGCCATAGGGAAGTCATAGGGGAACCATCGCAGCCTTGTGATTTGTTGGTCTCCGTTCATGTTGTTCCCCTCAAGCGATGAACCCCCCACAAAACGGTGTCAGTTGTTCAGTGACCCTGGAAAAAAATAATTGGAACCCTTCTTTGGGAAGACCGAATTTTTAGTGGGGCAGCCACCCAAGAAAAAAGGGAAAAGAATTGGAGCCACTGAACCACTGAGATAGAGCTGTCCCTCTCAAAAGTTTCCCGCCCATTCCCACCCCCCGCACCTTGGGGGCCTCCGTCTTCGAGGGTAGCCCCTGGGATCCTGTGCGACGCGTGGCCTGCGTCTCCAAACGGTGGAGACCCCTTCCCTCCCCACTTTTTCGGCTGGTCGCAGGAAAGCCAACAAGAAACCCTGGCCAGTTTGACTCCAAGCTTTGAAGGAACCAAGTTTTCGCAGACAAATGAGCCGTGCCGCAAACCCACCAAGCTTTCAAAAGGTTTGCTGTACTCCCCTACGGGCTACCCACAGAACCCGCCCATGTCTAAAACACCTTTTGGGCAATGGATTCCCTTTTAATTTCCATGTGAATTTGTGAGGAACCTGTAAGAAGTCTCGCCCGAGTAGAACCTACTGAAATGGATGCTTGGATGGCTGGACAGCAGTTCCTGTCAGACACCTGGATTTCCATGTGGAAAAGCAAGGCCACACACTTTGAGGTGCTTGGGGTGCAGAGAGGGGGTCCCCTATCCAAAATCAAACCGAAGACTGAAGCAAACTCGCTGGAGCTCGGGGTGTTTGGCTTTGTTTTGGAAACAACACAAACAACTTTCAAGGCTGTGCCAGTTTTTTAGGGAATCCCCTTTGGACTGGTCTTTGCGGGAGATGTTTTCTTTTTTATGGAACCCTCTCTGGGCTGGTCTTTGCGGGAGTTCTTTCTTTTTTAGGGAACCCTCTTTGGGCTGGTCTTTCCGGGAATTTTTGAGGGGTCCAAAAAACAAATCTCTAGGGGTACCTTCCCCATTCTTTCCAGGGATCCTTCTTTCTAGAAAACCTCCAGAAGAATGCGGAAACAACCCCCAGATTCATACTGGGGTTCAGTCAGGGATCCCTAAAATCTCACATCCTGAGTGTGGATTTGCCAGAGAACGTATAAATCCAACCTTCTTGTTTACCACTGAAGCCGTCCAAAAAACCATCCCCCTGCAAATCTACTGGACAATCGCGCATCCCATGTAGGCAGTCGATGCCAAAAATCCGTTCTCTCCTCCTCAGAGGCGGCCGGCCTGGCCCGGACATGCATACAGCCTGTGCCTTGGGTCAGTCCGTGTGGGGGGCTAGGCTTGACCTTGTTCTGAGGGTTGATTCCTTTTCCATGATTCTTTTCGAAAACCGGATCCGTTTCCCTGGGTTTCCGGAGGTTTGCTAGAAAGAAGGATCCCTGGAAAGAATGGGGAAGGAGGCACTAGACTTGTGCCTGACTCCCCATGTTGCCACAAACGTTGCACCTGTGGGCCTTTGGGTACCTGGAAGATCAGTTTCATCTTAAAGGGACCACCTGTGAGGTGCTGTGTTGGAGGGAAGGTGGGTAACATGGGCTGAAACCAGAAGACGAAGACCAGGTGATTTGGATGTGCTTCCCCTTTTGCCAATCAAACTGCGCTCACCCGACTATTGTTTGGATGTCTGGTGACTGAATCCCACGCAAAACGACCCCAAGCAACACATCACTGCACCACTGCTTGGAGAGGCAAGCTCACTTCTGGGACAAACCCCAGCGCCTGACAGCAAATCATACACCCTTCCTGGTGTACAGGAGTGGTTTTTACCTGTACCTAGCAAGGCTGGTACCAACAGCATAATTTCACTTGGATGCCACCCTCAACATTCAGAAACTGAGCCCCTCCTCAGAAAGCTAAAGCAGTAGAGTCACTACAGTATCTTGTCACGTGCTGATGCTGCGAGCTGCCACTGATCATTTATGCTGTGGGGAAGCCTGACCGAGGCAATCAGAGGGCACCTTTCCGTGCTAATGGCTTTGCCAAAGGCGTGTATGGGCGTATGGTGCCACAGAAAAAAGACAAGACAAGAACACGGATGAGTGCATGAGGGGGCATCTTTGTGACTCTCTCATAGGAAGTTATCACCCCCTTCCCCCTCCCAAGTCTAGTATCTATCGAAGCCTCAAGTACTCTCAAAACACTTGCCCTCGGTCAACGCGACGCTTAGGCTGCATACACACCTATCTGTTAATATGCATGAAACAACTTAATTATGTGTTTGTGCATATGCTTGTAGGTGCCACGGAACCGGAAATCGGAAACCCACTGGATGCCTTGCTTCTCGCAGCACGTTGGTGCCTGCGACCTGCGAGTCGGGATTTCGCAACGAGATTGGAAAGGCAACAGGCATGTGGCCGAAAGATGTGCAACAAGAACGTGGGAAACCAAGGGCAAACACACGACTCCATACAAATATGTGAAGTCCACCCCATCAACTGGCAGAAGGAAAGAAAGGAAGCAAGGAAGCAAGGAAGCAAGGAAGCAAGGAGGCAAGGAGGCAAGGAAGCAAGGATTCGGCAAGGAGGCAAGGAGGCAAGGAAGCAAGGAAACGGCAAGGAGGCAAGGAGGCAAGGAAGCAAGGAAGCAAGAAAGCAAGAAAGCAGGAAGCAAGGAAGCAAGGAGGCAAGGAGGCAAGGAAGCAAGGAAGCAAGGAAGCAAGGAGGCAAGCAGGCAAGGAAGCAAGGAAGCAAGGAAGCAAGGAGGCAAGGAGGCAAGGAAGCAAGGAAGCAAGGAAGCAAGCAAGGAAAGAACTACTGTTTCTAACATGCCTTCCACCGCCTTTCCGCACCCGTTTTTTGTTTTCTTGACATCTTCATCACCCGAGGCCCTGGCCGAGATCAGCGGCAAGGCAGGTGCCCGCTCGCCGGGGGGAGCCTTAGAAAATTCAAGGTGCAGCTCCATTCTTGCGGGGGGGCTGCCTGGGTTTCCACCAATCAAAAGTGTATGAACTTGCTGGTGCTTTTGTTGGCCATGATGTTAAGGCCACTGGAGGTTTCAAAAAGGGACAAGGAGGGACACTTGTGATTTGCTTGGAAGATACAG